TAATGGCGTAATATTTAAGGTATGCAGCATTCAGGACGTCTAGCAAATAAGCCACCTTTGTGGAGGCGTCTGGCCACTGTAAATCTTGATACTTGTCGTCCTGTGGCTGTGCACAGTTGCTGAGATATGGCGCTCGCTGACTGAAAACGGTTTCTTTTCGTCTGGAGGACAATGTAACGGTCATCTCTTGGTGTTGTTTTCCTTGGACGACCACCACCAACCTTCCGAACAGCTGTACCTGTAGTTTTAATGGCATTCCAAGCACGAGAAGCAACACTTTTGCTGATCCCGAGCTCTTCGGCGACACTGGTCACACTACGCCCCTCCTCAAGCTTCCCGATCGTTCTTCCTCGAGTAAAGACGTCTAAATAATTTCTTGAAGACATGTTTCACAAAACAAATCACTTGTACTTGCAGCGAATGTCTTTAACTACGGTGCTCTTCATCCTTTTATCACAGTTTTGTCCTGCGCGCGCCGACCCGCAAGAATTACGTACACTTACATCACCTACGACGCTTTATCTTCTTTGCAATTTCAATTTTTTACATTTACGATATAGGGTATTAACTGCATCAACTTAATGTCTTTGTCTACGTTTTGGCATTTCATAAAGTAAAAAACTAATATCAGCTTGTCGGTTACGTCTCAATCTTTGACGAAAGAGAACTCTCTACTTTTTTATTTTTAAGCTACATTTTTAAAAGATAGAACAAGCAATGGTTCTGGTATGTATAGAAATTGAAATTTTTTCTCCCATTAGATATCTATTTAATTAAAATTTTACTTTCAAAATATATTTTTGTTACTTGTATTTCATAGTACTACAGATTATTACTTATATTATGCACATTACATGTTACTTACTTAAATATTACAGTGCTTAATCATATTTAAACATTTCTACTTTAAAGTAGGTTTGAGAAATTCTGAATAAATGCCAATATTTCTTCCTTTGGACAGAACACTTGGAAAAAGGTATTTTTCTGTTCAAAATTAATTGTTAAAAATAAACGTAAATGAAAATAAATACACGTTAAAAGCTAAGATTTACCTGAAGTAATGTTTTTTAGCAATTCAATTTTCTTCATTTCAGCTTTTGCTAAAAAAAAAAAAAAAGCATTTTAAAACAGAGAATGTAGTAAAGTTTAATTTTCCTTAACATCACTAGCAATATTTGAAAGAGAAATATTGAGTTAGATGCCAAAAATAACTTACTATTATTTTTCAATTCCTGCAAGTTTAGATGGATAACTAAAGAGAAAACTTTTTTTAATTGTAATTAAAGACAAAATTAATGAAATCACTAATTTATAATACGTTCTATAGTGATATTATTTATATCAAATTCTATTCAAACTACTAGTTTCATAATGCTGTGCAAATATTTTTTAGCTGTTGTTAAAAATGTTAAACAGATTTACTTTATTGTTTTTAACTATGTTTGTGGGAAAAATAATAAAAAGGGTAATCTGAAAAAAAAAACAGAGCTGTTGATTTAGCACGGTATAAAAAGCTACTTCGTGAAATTTCAACCAAATTAAATGTTTTTTTTTTTAATATTATATCACTTGATATTGTTAGTAGTTTGTTAATGTATTGTTGGTTTTTATAATACTGATTGCAAAGTTTATTTTATAATACCAGTTTGATATAATTTGATTAGCAGTTTGATTTATGATACTGTTAGAGCTTTATTCTTTCAAGGTTTTTAAAAGAAATTTTTTAAGTCTTTTTTACTAAAATAAACAAACATTGTAGTAAAATATACTATTTTATTATGCTTCCAAATAATATTTATTTTAAATAAAGATTATTTTAAAGTAGTCATTACTTACATTCATTTGGTAATTGTTCCCGTTGTAACTGCATAGCTGAAAAAATATATATTTGAAAATTTCTCATACAAAGCTGTATTTTATACAGGATGATGCATAATTAGAATTGTGTTATTTAGGGGTAGGTTTAGTTGCAAAAAATTAAGAGCCAGGCCAGTTTTCCTATGACCCAACAGGATGGAAACTTGAAATTTTTTATTTTGTGTAAATTTTCAAGATGTTCCTTTTGTAAAAATATTAGACAAGTATTTCTTTTTATATTTGATAGAAAAATACGTTTTTCGATGTTTTGAATGGGAGGTCAAAACTGAAGATCCTCTGGAATTTCCTCTGAAAAAGATATAGCAAAGATTGTGATATAGCAAAATGCATAAAAATTTAAATTAACATTAAAATGTCAAAATGTCTATTCTAAATGTTTGACAGCTTGAATGCCGAAACTTATGATTATTCTCCCATAATTTAAGAGTTATGAGCCTAAATTCATCGAAAAAAAACTAGAGTTTCTCTTCTGAAATATCATTCTCTCTGATTAAAATCCCGCCTTACGTCAAGTTCATGATTATAAGATGCTTCATAAAAATTGTTTATAGGTTTTTCTTTTTTACAACATCCATAGAAATTTAAAAAGTAAATTTTAAAAAAATAACCAAGAGTACATAATTTACCAAACTTTGAAACAATTAAAGAACAATTACATACCAATCGTGATATTTTTCAGCAATTTCATTTTCCCAATTTCTGCTTTTGCTATAAAGGGAGAAATAAAACAGTGCAGTTTACTTCAACTGCTTCAATAAAGGAGGAAAGATTTATAGTAAAATAATTGTAAAATATACTTACTTAAAATTTTCATTTTTTGTAAGTTTAATTGTATAACTGAAATAGAAACATTTAATTATTTTTATTCATCGTTTGAAAACAAAAGAATATTATTCATGGTTAATTTTTTCTCGTTATAACAATATCTATAAGTTCAATTCTTTACTTACTTTCATAAGGAATTTTTTCTTCTTGTAATTGCATAGCTGGAATACAAAGGAAAAAAAAATTAAGAGAGTAATGAACTTGATTAATATAAATATATTTTAAAAGTTTCCATAAAATAGTTTCCTTAAAAATAATTTAATTTTTTTCTCTACTAAATAGTAGTTTATTTTGAGTTAGGAAACTTCATTTCCAAAACAAAAATAGTAGCAAACAAAAAATTTCTGCAATCAAACTAAAGTAAATGAAGAGAATTCTCTTAATTGATATTTTTGTTAAAAATATATAACTCAAGATTCAATTGTTGGATGAATCTAGAAACTAATAAATGTATGTCATTGGTGGTTCATACTATCTGACATTCCCATGTATAGAAGTATACGGTACATCAAGTAAAGGAAGAGGAGGCAAAACAATTTCAAAGGAATTAAGAGATTTTTTAATCAATTATATAAAAAATAAAACTAATCGTAATATCTCAATCTTGTGGTCACATGTAAATATTTTCGACATTAATGTGATTTTCAGTACGTTTTTCTTGAGCACAAGACTATTATGAAAACAGAATAATTATCGTACTTCCTCAAGAGTGTGAGAAGAGTGTCTGGCTCACAGGTACGAACGTAATATTCAACAATTTTTTAAGGACAAGCATTGTCGTACAATAAAATAATACTAATTAGTCGCAATACTAATATCATAATTAGTATTGCGAGAGCACCAGTTATTACATGAGAACCTCATCAACATCCTAGATTATTTTTAATATTTCTGATCTGTATTTAATTTTTTGAATAATAATGTGTAATAATAGTTAAATAATAATATGTTAGAAAGTATGACATCCGTAGTAATACTAAATTATGTGTATAAATCAGCTACACTTAGAAAAAAATATGGTCAAAACGACTAAAATAATTTAAAATTTTACCGTGTTTCTGGATCTACGGAAGCACCAAAAAGCACCGTAAGTTTTTTCGAAGCACTTTGGTAATTGGTGAAATTAACATTAAAAGTAATAAAATTAGGTAAAGTGATTAGGTAATTTGGTATTTCCATTATGATATCATAGTGAATGGTATAAAAAAAACTTTATTCAGTTAAGTTTATATTTCCATTTTGAATTTGCTACTAAATGTGTGGTAATAAGAACTATAATTTTGAAACTAGAATTTCTGGGAAACCGTTAACAAATGAACGAAATAGATATAAAATAAACGGCTTTATACAGATATTTTGTTTTTATTAACCAGACTTATGATTGTTTTTTAAACCAGTAATGTCAGTATCATACTGTTCCTTAATTTAAAAAAAAATTTCTTCGAGTATATTTTCATTAAATAATCAGCTTCCTTTTCAAATTCGGATTGTACTACGTATAATAACCACAAGTGGTGGACAAGGAGGGGAGACCTCACATCAGTTTTTTTAAGGGGGACACAGGGCCTGAAACTTTGAGAACACCTCTTTTATGTTTTCGGTAATTTCTTATGAATAACAAAGACATACCTATTGAAATGTTTTGCAACAATTCCATTTTCTTTTTTTCAGCCTTAGCTTTGAAAAGAAACAAATTAAATTCAGTCATAAAGTTTCAAGCGCTTTGAAAATTATATTGTGTACTAACGAAATTATACCTACTTGGATCTTTCATTTCTTCTAAATCGAAACATATAACTGAAAAATAAATTATGATTAATTATTTGTTTATTTTAAGCAACAAATATCAATAATAATTTCTTAATTTTACACTAGAATAAAATCTTCTGTATATACAGTTTAAATATAGTAGAGCACGCCCGTGACTATAAATCTCAAAATTAAACTACGTGACTATTGGAGAAATTCGATGGAGATATTGAAACGTTGAATATCAACATGGTAATTTATTTGGTTGCAGAGAAAATTTTTTAAAGGAGGACTTTATATGATTTACGAGAAAGTTAATTCAACACATTTTAGAATTGCAATTGTTTTATCTTTTAAATGCAGGAAAGCTTTTTTTTCCTTAAAGAATCATATTAATCATGTTTATTCCATTTTATACATTCAAAAATCAAAATGAATACTTTTTGAACTGTCTTACAAGCAAATAAAAACAAATAAGAGCACAACTAATCAATAAAGTAAAGGTTATTTAGAATTATTCATTATTAATGCATAATTATTTTTAGTTTTACTGATAAAATGTAGTAAGTGAAGTTTTGACGACATTTTTATTTCTTTTCCCCTTCGTTTATTTGACTTGAATATTTTACTCTCTGTAATGTTTTTGAAAGAAAAGAGTATACTATTTTTTTTTTAAATTTCAATTTCAGTGACTTGCTTTGGATTAGTTTTGTACATAACACGCATTTGCAAATGGAAAATAGGGATTACAAAAAATTAATATAAGCCGATTCTATAAATCGATCAAAGATTTTTAACACTAAAATATTAGTTCTTCAATAATATCATCAGGTATTTCTCAATTGAAATCATCAGATCTTTTTTAATTACAATAACACATGGAAAAAAAATCAAGAATACTATCAGAGGCATTAAACCTTATTATAACAAGTACAAAGTAAAAATAAAATCAGAAAGTTAAAAGAAAGAAGTGAATAAAGGCGAAGAAATTTTTTTTCGAACTTCGTCTTTACTTTTCAATTGCTTTACAAGTCTTAAATCCTTTCTTGTAATTGTTTTCAAAAATTTGGAATACTTGAAAATAAATCCATGTGGAACTATTCTGAAATATATGTGTTAGATTGTATCTTAAACAGCGATTTTTTTTGTTTACTTCTAAAAATATTAAGATACAGGGCTGTTAGCAAATAATTAAGTATTTTTGAAAACTGCACTGTTTTGCTAATCTTAACACTGTTTTGCTAATCTTAACACTGATTTGCTAACCTTAGCTTTCAAATTTCCTCCATTGTTTGTTTAAGTACAAAACACGAATCTATCAAAAAAGAGAACTCATTTGAACTGTCACATGTTCCTTCATTCTTGGCCAAAATCTCCGAACGAGCGGGAGCACGTGATTATTGTGGCTCTGATGTTTGGGGCAAAGAGTGATGAGGAAATATAACAACCGGGTTTATTCTGTTTGTATTTGAGCTCTATACTTCTGACTTTACTATACATTTACATATATTGCTTTCATTTAACTGCTGCAAACCTTTTGTTTATTCTTTCTATATGAAATTATTCGAGGATTTCAATTCTTTTTCTATTATCTGACGAAAATCAAATTTTATAAAATCTATTTTTTATACCTAGTATTAATTTTTATTATTTTTAAACACTCATGTAGTAAACTTGTAAAAAGTAATAACATATCAATTTTGTTATGAATATAATGTTGCGGAAATAAAATATAATTTTGAAAAAAATGAAACTTTAATTATAAAAAACAATTTTTGAAAAAAGTAATATATACTCTTTTTTTTGGTATTTCTTAAAATTTTATAATTAAAATTTGTTTTTTATTTACTTTCATTTGGTAGATCCTTTCCTTGAAACAACATATCTGAAATGCAAGTAAAAGCTTATAATAGAATAAAAGTGCAATAAATAAGTGTGAAAATCAATTAAATTAAATTGTATAATGAATAATAATTATTGGTCATCGACTAAAATGTAAAATTTGCAATAATCGAATATAGTGATATTGTACAATCCAAATCTCAAATTCAATTCACCCATTGTTGTTTTCAATAAAATTTTTTCCGTAGTTAAACGATAATTGCATTTTTTGCTTAATTTGTCTGTCATTGTTAATTTTTTTATGAGCCTTCTATCCATCACCGGATTTTGAAGTTGGGCCTGTTTCGCTGCTAACAAAAACTTTATTTTTTCTGTCTTTTCTTGCATTATGACAGTATAATTTCTGCTTTTATTAATTGAAAATAAGGAATGGAAAACAAATACTCGTTATTATGAAAGCCAATTATTTTCACAACACATAAAAACATACAAATTTATTGCAATGGTTGGCATCTGTTTCTTCGCATCTCAGTTTGAAAGTAAAATTAAAAGAAAAAAAACAGTTTTAAATTAAAATGAATTATATATTTAATTAAATTGTAACTATCACATATTTTTTGCAATGAAGCATTTAGTAATACATGGGAAAAATCAGAGTGAGCAAAACTATTAGTTATAAGATTCTATGTCATGGTTTATATGAAATTGATAAACGGAAATGAAGATACGATAAAACTGTTAATAAATTAGTTTTCAAAATTTGAAACTTACCTAGTTTTATTTTTTTCAGCAATTCCAATTTTCTATTTTCTTCTTTTGCTTTAAATTGAAAAAGTGAAATATTTATTAAAACCTACAAGTAATTTTAGTTTTCTCATAATACTCACTTCTCACTCAAATAATACTCACTTCTATTTTTAATTTCTTGTAGATTGAACAAAAATATCATAGTNATTAAGATCACCGTACTTTTTGAGTGCTGAATGTGAGAGGTGTATTAACTTCATGGTCGTAGTCGCTCCTGTGTTGCCTTTAGCAGTCGAGTGTATGCCGGCCAACGTTGTGTGTTCGAAACTGAGTAGCAACAGTGCGAGGAGGTGGATAATGTTGCAGTCACAAGTAGCAAGTCAACTGTTCAATGTGGATCATCCATCGAAGTAGGCGTTACTGTCTAGTTAGGCGTGTTCATATCGAAGTGGGCGTTACTGCCTAGGTAGGCGTGTTCACATCACGTCCGAAGGTCACCAATGTGGGGAGAGTAGTTTCAGACCATGTCAACAGTCATCTATGAAAAGGTACCCCAACATAGAGTCGAGTTAACATGTCTTATATACTAGTGAAATGTAGTTGTAATTTTGTAGTGGTAGATACGCTACAATTACATTCAATAAATTTATTATGAAACCAATTTTATGGCACATATGCTGTGAACTTAAACAGTTTATGCAACCGGTATTAAAAGTATATACAATTTTTAATTCTTTAAAATGTCGTAGAACTAACCATCTATTATATAATTAAAAAACACAATTGAAGATTGATTTAATTTAAAAATATTTATTATTTAGTATGCTAATTACATAGCATCCAATTTTTATGGATTTATAAAGCAATTATGATACAATTTTAAAATAAATATTGTATTTATGAAAGCAAAATTCTGATTACCCTTATTTATAGACAAGATATATTTATTATTTTTTGAATAGGTAATGAAGCTAGTCTAATATTTTCTAAAATTCTGCAAATGATGAGTTGGGAAAAATTATAATGCATACAGTAGTTTTATTACAAAAAAAATTTGTTAAGACATTCTCGTAAAAGCATAAATGTTTCTTTTTTGGCATTAAGTTTCAAATTCATTAGTTTGTTATGCTTTAGAACGTTATTATTTCATTTTATTTAACTTCCCTTAATTTCACAAAATATCTCCAAAACAATTTTACTTCTTAAAATGGCGGGTCACTTTGACGTATGTATGTTGAAATGAGATCTAATAATATCAGAATAGCAAAAGCTCCTTCCAAACCTCATCTAATATTATACTAATAAATATGCAGTTAATATTAATACATGGAAGAATAGTTTTTTTTATTGCAAAATTAAAATTGCAGATTAATTGTGGCCCATTTATTAATAAAAATAAAAACTTTGAGTGAAATATTTTTTTTTTAAATAAAACTTGCTAGATTATTTTCCTGGCAATAACAAAATATTAATTTACTGAGATATAAAATATTTGAGAAACGAAGCATTAAGCGAAGTCTTTTTTTGTTTTATTTTGGGGGGGGGATGAATTTATTGAACAATAAATTTATATTTTATAATTTAAATTTTCGAACTAGTAATGAATTTTCCACTAGATGGGATTGATCGGGATTTGTTGCAAAAGTACATTAGTTATTTTTATTCTAATATTACGCTACACTTACACTCATTTGGTTTTCCTTGTATTTCATAGCTGAAATACAAATAATTTTAATTTATTTACATTAGATTTCTTAGCAACATGTGTTTAGTGTTATCTAATTGCCGCAAAAGCTAAATTTCGAGAGAAAAATATAAAGAATCTAAAGTAAAATTATCAATCAATAAAAAGCCGTTGGTGAAGGAGAACAATGGATTTAAATGGGAAATTTTATTATTTATTAAGTTTATTTATTTTAATAAAATCTGTTTTGCTTTTAAATTTATTACAACTAGAGTAACTTTTAATTTAATAAATATCTTTCATTGCACAAAATTCATATAAAATACATGGTAGATTAGATCAAAAAAACCTATTTTATTATTTGCAAAACGCAGAGTGACATTTTAAATATATACATGTTAAACACCAACACAATAAAATTTGTATTAAATATATGCTACTCGTTAGTTTCGTAAAAAAAGCTGGATTACAAAATCTAGAAAATCTAGAAAGAGCTAGAATTGGTTGAGAAACTTACATTGGTTTTCCCTTTCTTCTGTTTGTAGTTCGATTGCTAGAATTAAAAATTTGAAGTATTTAAATCACCTCTTAATCTGAATCATTTCAAAAATACGTAGAAAGTTAAAAAAATATTTGAAATATCTTTTGTTATTGCGGTATATTGAGTGAAGTTTCATTGGAGTGTTAAATATTTGTTAAGCATTAAAATCAATAGAAATAAAGCATACAAAACTTACCCTTAGTAATATTTGCAAGCAGTTGTTCACGTTTCGCTTCAAACCTGACTTTAACCAAAGAAAGATTAAAATTAGATGATTATTTGTAGTTTGTATCCTATTTAACATGCAGTTCATATGCTATTTCCTCTTAACAAATGATTAACAAATCTTAGGCGAACATTCAATAATGCAACCATGTAATTCGTCACAGTAGTACACATTACTGTATTAATTAAAAAAAAATACTGTAATTTTTGCAAGCAAATTTGTCTGATGGGAAAAATGTAGTATAAGTTAACTCGATTACATAAAAAATATAGTGATTTATCATTTTATATTCAATCTTAAAAAACAATAGATTGAGCAAGAATTTATTTGCCTCAGTACAATCAAGTATTGTTGCATTTTTCTATGCAAACAAATTCTATTCAATTTGTTTTACTGAAAATGTCAATTTATTTATGCAAAAAATATATTTTATTTTGACTACAAAATACATTAAAAGTAATTATCGAAGAATTTTGATTGATTTCTTAACTGAATTGTTTTGGTATATTCAAATACAAGTCTGGCGAAAATTACTTAAAGCCGAATTTATCCACCATTAACACAATCATGTTTTTAACACATTCACGTTTTTATAAAGCATGTTAAGTATGCATAAAATCTCATTCTTCCCTTTACGCATAGAAAAGGGCATATATTCAGTTTGTGTTTCAATAAATCATCTTAACGTGAAAGTATATTTGTAGATAACATAATATTATAATTCTGCTTTGATGTAAAAGAATTTAAAAGCACGATTCACATAATTTTTTTTAACGATCAGATAAATAAAACATGTAGTATATGAACAATTATATTTTTTGAAATTCTGAAAAATAAAATATTAATAAAATATTAATAAAATAAAAATAAATTATTAATAATTATGAAGTATTAATAAATAAAATATTAATAAATAAAGTATTAATAAATAAAATATTAATAAATAAAATATTAATAAATGACAACATGATGGGAAAAACTAATAAAAGCTGAAATATTGTGCGTAGTTATAACTATTATGAATATACTGTACTTAATTATAAATTGTCTTACTTCTAAATTGTCTTTCTTTTTCTTGCAGCTTCATGGCTAAGATGCAAATAAAAGCATTAAGAACAATCATATCAAGTTTTGTTTCGTATAGATGCACAGAAGTGGAAAAACTAATATTAATAATAAATTTAACTTTAATTTGTGTACAATTTACTTGCATTTTAAGTCAAACAAAAGAACATTCGTCTTTAAATATGACTGATAAAGCGAACACAATTGATTTGACGCGAATAATTAACTTAAAAAGTTAAACAAATTTCAAAATTATGCCTGCGTGATTTCTAAAAGCTTTCTGATTTTTTAAAAAACTTATTTTTTAACAGCTAAAAACTTAATCTTAACTTTTATTCCGTAACTGATTTTTTATTGGATTACAATCTATTAAAAAACACCGATAGTACCAATGTGAACTGATTGCTTCTTTAGAAGAAATACGTTAAACAAGTTTTAATGAAATCATTTTTTTTGTTGATTTTCAATAAGATATACATTGATTTAAGAAGTCGTGGTGGCTCAGGGGAAAGAGCACTCGTCTCTAAATGAGGTGCCCGGCTTCGAATCCCAGCGATACAATTTCCGCACTCGACTCGCACTGACCACACGCAAAATATCCTCAGTGGGAGACAGACCGTAGGTTAAAGTCCCCTTATCATCAGACGAATCAAGGATGAGTTTCGCGGTTTTTCTCTACATGTAATGTAAACGCAGGTTAGTTCAGTTATAAATTCTTCCACGATGGCTAAATTAGCCTATACTCAATCCAGAAGTTCCCATGTCTACTAGATCGGGTTAAAAACATTGGTAGTGCCAACGGAGTTGAACATAGGTAGTGGTAAACTAGAAATTGCGCCGTAAACACAAAAGTGGGTTCTGCGACGGTGATAAAAACAATACATTGAATTGTGATATAATTAAGATGAAGAAGAATACTCATACGAAAAGAGACACAACAGGAAATTACATCGCCACTAAAATAATAAAGTGTTATTTAATAAATTAACTGAAGCGAATAAAGAAGTAAATAATTGTAGAAAAAATAATACAAAGTTTTCATTTTTATCTTAATCAGTAATTATAAATTTTAAGTTATGCATTTCATTACCTACTAGTATTTAAAATAAAGGAAACGTTTAAATCATTACCTTTAGTTATGATTGCAATCAGCTGTAATACATTGTTTTCCTCTTCAGCTACAAAACAAAACACAAGAAAAAATCTATAAAATATTTAAAGCAAAGATTTTTCTAAATTTAGCGAGTAGTACAGAGTGCAAAATAAAAGTAAAGCCCATTATTGGTCAGTGTGCTAATGCAGGGGAATGCTCTGCAACTTGTTGGCCTACAGCAAAATTGTACTAATGTGGCCAGCATTGTTCACTAGCCGTCTTCAATGCCCAGACAAACTGGTACCCATCTGTCTGTCATTAGATGGGCTTCAAACCCCCTCCAAGGGCTTAATTTACATTTTCATTTATTTAAAATGTATTAGATCCTTAATTATCCCTAGATTGCTTAAGGAAGTCATATTGACTGCTTTGAAATTGAATTAGAGAAACAATGATGTATATAATGACACAATTTCTCAGAATTTTATACAGCGTATAATTTTTTTATTGTTAATATTCACTAATAACCTATTATATAACTGTGAATAATATAAAACATATTAAAAATTAATTTTAAACAAATTCCTTTACACATTATTTATTCTTTTACAATCCAGTCATTTTGACTGCTTTTGAGCAATACATGCATAAACTAAGTTTCCGTCTTTCTAGTGTTAAGTATAGCTAACCAAAATTATTTTTAAGTTAATCAGTAGATGAGTTGACTTTCGCAGAATGTTTCGTTTCGCCGTTAAATATAATGCTCTTTTATTGCTTTGAAACTACCTTCATGCCTGAAAAATCTACGTTTTGATTTTATCGAGTAGTTTTGTGTTATGAGGAATATAATTTGTTATTTCAGCATTTTTTAAAATTTTAAAGCGTTTTAAGCGTTCATTTTTTTTAAATTTTAAATTTGACGGTATACTCTAATGTTGTGTGACTTGTTTTTTCTGAGAATAAATTACATCAAATAACTCTTACGAAATATTTTGAGTTTAATAAAAAGCAATCATTAATTTACAAAGATAATTTTATTTACTGCGATCTATAGTCAATGTAACTTGAAAAGTAATTTTTTGAACTATTGAGCAATTTGTTATAAATTTGAATTATTGTCTTAAGCAGATTAATTACACAGTGAACAAAGCAATACATAAAACTGAAACATCAAAGCTTCGATTCAAAGCAAAATAAGTTAAACTCAATGTATTGCTATTTTAGGTTTATCATAAAAAAAGCATTTGAAAACGCTAACTTACAATGTTTTCATAAAATAATCCGATGATTATTTTTTTTAAAAATAAAACAGTCTTATAATTTTTAACATATGTGCACATCTATATTACAAGAACTGTTTGAATTATAGCCTAAATAATTTAATTGCTTTTTATTAGTTTGATATTATTATTCATTTTTTACATAAAGAAATTGATGCTTCATGCTTTTTATGAAATGATAATATTTCATCCCAAACACGCTAGATGTATCATTTTAATTCAAAAATAGTTTTTTTTATTATTTTTGCAGAAAAGGGAAAATAAACATATTTACTTTTGCTTCATTATCTCTTTGTTAACAGCAGTATTATTACGTTTTCTTTGCAGTACGAATTTATTGAAAAGTATGAGTTGCGAAAGTGTACAATTAGTCTATGGTATTTTATTATAATAACTAAAGTTATGTCTGAATTATTACCCAATGAAATTCAGAAATAATCTACGGCTGATACCAAGAAACGTGTTAAATTTTTTGAAATTTTTTACTTACTTTTGTTTCTTTCTTCTTCTTGTAATTCCAATGCTTTAAAGAAAAAGCACATTAAAAATAATCTTAGTCTTCAGAAAAGTAATATAGTTTGTGCATTTTGTTACAAGATAAGGTATTCCAAGGATTAAGGGAAATAAACGTTTTATTACTCATTTTAAATGAAAAAAATAATGCATGACGCAAATGGTGAAACTTGAGACAATGATTAAAAATATTACTATCTCAACTCATTTTAATAAACTTAAACTTATTCTTTTTACTGTGTAAACCAAACTAAATGTTATTATTTCAAAAATTTACAGTAAATGTTTTCGGTCATGAGAAAATAGTTCTAAATTAAATTATGACAAGAAGAGCTTAATCACTGAAAAACTTAAAAAAGCGATGTATTTTTATATTTTAAATCTTATTTAACAGAAAATTCAAGTTCATTACAAATAATCGTTCTTAAGAAAATTAATAGTTTTAAGAATGCTTGAAGAAGCAATATTTGAATAGAAATTTTTCTTATTTTCTGCATTTACAATTTTTGGTGTTTGGCTATACAACTTTTTACTGAATTTAACTGAAATTGATGCATTTTGTTAAAATTTTACTGTTGTAATATTATTTAATTAAAATATTTAGTTATTGTGAATTTAGTTTTATTAGTAAATTTAAACTAAATTGTATGGAAACAACGGGACGATTGTTTTTGCTAGAATATAAGGAATAAGCAATAATATAACATTCATAATTTTAAATATGTTAGTAATTTAAAAATAGTCATGTTATATCAATATAAGTTGTGCACGATTGATAATATGCTGTAAACAATTTGATTTTGTTACAGGATATGAAACTTTTTAATAACAACAATAATAAATCAATATTCAATTTAACTTTTTTAAATTTACATTTTTAAAATATCGTTCATGAGAAAGATGATATTGAAAAAATATATAACAAACTGAAAGAAATATAATATTTACCAATGAATATATAAGAATGAATTCAAAAAAATTTTAAGCAAAATCTTACCTATGGTAATATTGGTCAGAAGTTGTTGTTTTTTCATATCGAATTTAACTAAAACATAATTCGTATTTAATTAACTTACAAAAGATGCAATAATTTAATTATATAATTATGCAATTATGCTTTTTTCTAGTTACTATTTTAATCTTACATTACATAAATAACACATTACATAAACATAAATATCATTAAAAATTAAAATATAAACTGCGTTATAGTAAAGCAATGCTAGACTTACTTTTTTCCTTTCTTTCTTTATCTTGTAACTGCATTTCTAGAATAGTTTAATTCAATAAAATAACTCAATAAATTAAAATTAATGGAATTCAAATATCTTGATGTTCTGGAATATTTATGACATTTAGTAGTACGCATTTAAATTTCTAATTTAATACAATCTGCTGTTTCAAGGTTTTATTATAATGTGTTTCAGTCATTTAAGTCTTTAATTGGAATTAAATACTAAAAACTTATCTTTCGCTTATGATAATAATATTTAAAATTGCACATCGGCATAAATTTAAAACTATATATTTTATATTCGAAATTTAAAAAGAAAACACGTAATATTACATCAACTTTTGACGGCGTTCAATTTTGTTGAAAATTTTACCTTTGAATTTATAAACTCTATTTAACTGGAATCATTTTTCCATATACTATATTAAAATTTAAAAAAATTCTTCAATTTTTATAATCGTAAATTAAAATAATTTTATTTCTTACAATAATGCTTTAAGCTTTTCATATGAAAGTTTTGTATTTTTGCTGGTTTTTATTTCATAAATTTAAAAAACTCGTTAAAGCACTTTAAAACTTTTTAGAAATGTCTTAATTATTTTGTTGATAACATGTTGAAACTTATAGCATTATTTTCCATAAAAAAATTATAATAATAAAGTTTTTAGTTTTAACTGTCATTTATAAGGAGGTACAGCAGAATTGTGGTGGATTTCATAATTTTTTTTTGTCTCTTCATAGCGATCAGTCTTATCATTATCGAGGCCAATGTTATCTTTATCTTACAGACAAAAGTTTCTATCATTATTAGTTCGTACTCATTGGTCCACCACAACCATTATTTTTCATGATTAAAGGAGTTCAAAAATCTGTAACTCATCTATATTACGTTCAAATATATTTCTGTACATAAAGTAACTTATTTAGTATTTTTCTTCTTATTTTACAATATGTATCAACTATGGAGATCTGGGAATAGTTGCGATAGGTAGTGGTATGGTAGTTACAGTTATTTAAAACTGCATTAAAACGGCCTTAACATACGTTGTTTACTTTTTTTATATTTGAATACACGTACATTTTACATACCAACTGTTAGTAGCTTCCCATAATTCAGGCTGAATTAATAAGAATAGGCTGGTAGTTCCACCGAAAAAACATATCGAGGACATTATTCTCGAAATTTTTGGAGTTGCACAGTAAATAACAGTTGTATCTGGTTTGTTGAACACGTATCCCACGTAATTACGTTTTAAATTGGATAAATATTTAATTTATTCTTCTTAAATAGGCATTTTAATTCATAAAATGTTTCAACGTATTTTCTTTTTCCGACAAATGCATTTTACTTCAACTCAAATAAAATCACTCCTAGAAAAAACTAGTTTTAATTTACATAATGTTCTTCAAATGAAGATAGCATTTTTTATGATGATATTTTAAGATGAAAAGTTTTAACTATTTTGCGTAACTAAAAATATGAACTTTAAAATTTAATAAAAAAAGCAAACCTGCTGCTTTCTTTGAATCTATAATTTTAAGTTTTTAAGTATTTTTGAGAACTTAAAAAAGTAATATTTTTCAGTATTTTGCAAATATGAATGAATGTATTATTCAAATATCCTTAAAAAAAGATAAAAACCACTTCATTTGGTGATTTATAATTTTTGTTAAATGGAATTGAAATTTATGAAAAATGAGTAGAATTAATTTCAGCAATAAATTAACATTTGTCTTTTGTAATACCACGCATGTTAGGGGACAATAAGATGCTAGGAAGTTTGTATGAGACAATGTTAAAATGAGCAAATCTAAAGTAAATTAGGATATATCCTTTAAAAATCAGAAACAATTAATTGTGCTTCATTTCATAGTTTTTCTCTTGATATAAAAAAGAGAAAGAATAAGAAAATCTTTAGTTTTATAAAGATTTTATCCTATTTCTATAGATCTACAAATTTGATACTTTTAGATTAATTCCTATTTATTCAAATAAATGGGTAATTAGTGAGCAAGAACTAAGAAATGCAAATCGTTGTATTGAAATATCTTAAAATTCTTTTTTAGGTGTTCTCTTGATAGTTTGGAAATAATGTATATAGAAAATTAAATGTTGTTATGCTACTTTTTAAATAGTTTTGTCTTTGATTGCATTTAAACAAAAGTTATTATACCAAATTTTTGTCAACACAAAGTAGCTAATGTACTAATAAAAATCAAATAAATAATGAATGAATGCAAAAAATACCATTTGTTATAAATACAAGGAATGGATCAAGGGCTGAAAAAAGAATAGAAAAATAATTTTATGGTAAAGTTATTCAGTATATAATTAATACATAGTTAATTAGTTAATTTAAATTGGTAAATATACAATATATATATATATATNATCAATTTTATATATAATCATTATATGAAGATGGAAATCGAGAGTGAAACACAAAATCATCATGCTGCTCAATAAAAGTTAGGGAAAATCTTCCAATGAAAATTTGTAAAATATCCCGTTTTAGGGAATAAGGGAAATCTTTGTAATTGTAATTGGTTTATTAAATAGATCGTGCGATTCCCACAAAGAGTGAAGGGAAAAAAGTCTTACTTTTACTTAATGCATATTAGAACCAAAAATAGATTAATAGACATTGAGTAAATTTCAAAGTGTGAGAAAGATTGCTTCGTTTTTAATAATTTACAGAAAAGGAATAACATGTAAACATTATTTAAAGCTTTTAAGGTCGCACACATATATATATATATATATATATATTGCGTGCAAAGTGTAACATTCCAACAAAGCCTGTCTTTTTGGAAAAATAATCTAAAAAATTTTGGAAATGAAATTAAAAGTTTTAGTTGCATAAAAAATTCAACTATCGCAGTTTTGCTTTTTGAAATCGTAATTATTTACGCAAATATGTTTGAGAAATTTAAGAAAAAGTAGAGTAGTTCAAAAATTTTTATAAAATTTTATTGCAAAAAATATCAGCAAATCTCTTATGTTTCATTCCATTTAAGTTTTTTTTTACTTTAAATCTGGGTTAGTGAGGTAAAGTTTTAGGTCATTGTTTTGAGAGCAAATAGAGAGGAGTATTAAACTATTCAATTCAATTAAATTTAAATTAATAAGTTTATTTTTGAAGAATAAGCATTTCAAATAACTGTATATTTGTTTAAGATGTGTATAATTACTAATGTTTCGTAAATTAATACACATATACAAAATATCGATAATAATAATAGTTTTGAGTTAGTGTTCTACCGATTAGTGTTCCTTGCAATTATTGCTCTTCCGACCTTTATCTCGGGTTTGAGAAAACTTTCAAAAATTTCACGTTTCTGAACGATAACGATAAAACTGGGCTTTTTTACGTCAGAAAATGAAATGGTTTACTGATATTCAAAAATTTGCAATTTTATGAAATTCAGAAAAAAATAATCTAAACAAACATGCTATAGCTTTAAAATTATAATCATATATCGAAAAATTTCATCAAAAAATTAACACTCTATACCAGTGGTCGGCAAACTTATTAGCCAAAGAGCCAAATATGAACATTACAACAATTTTTAAAAAAATTGGGAGCCAAATCTGCTTGTTTAGTAAACTTTTATTACACTAAATAAGTAGTACACTAAATAAAACTAAATTTCATACTTAATAAATATTTATTAATGCGAACAATGTGCTTGCATCTCCTTGGAAAGTTTGAGTAAGTCAGGTTTTTATGTTGTTGTTTTTAATTTTAAGCCAATTTGTACCCCCACTACTTTAGAAAAAGTATGCGCGCATGCTTGTGGTACCTTTGTATCACACCGGAGTACGCCGAAAACATACGAGCAATTTCAGCCGGTAGCTTGTACATGGTTTGTATTTACGTTTACGAAAACTAATAAAATTAAACTTGATATTCGGTACGTATTTTTACAACAATATGAAAATTTAGTTACCTATCTATCTTTTAACTTAAACAAAAAATTATACATGTTCTCGATTTATAGAAGAATTTTAATTTATCAAAATAAGATGTAATTTTTTTTCTTACCAAGTTTTTTTTAAAATGATAATATTATTGCGCCTTCTGTGGATATTTGTGCCAGAGCCGCACTTAAGGAGCCAAAGATCTTTGGCTCCTATGTAATTTTTTACTTACTAGTTTTTTTTTTAATGGAAATATTATTGCGCCTTCCGTGGATATTTGTGCCAGAGCCGCACTTAAGGAGCCAAAGAGCCACATGCGGCTCTGGAGCCGCACTTTGCCGATCACTGCTCTATACCAAGCGAAAGTAAAAGAAAACAAGAGATAAAAGGTAGTTAAGATAAATGTTTTAGCTGTAGATATTTTTTTAAATTTTAAACGAGCTTTTCTTTTAAGTATAATTATTTCCATTGCTTATCTCTGCTTAACTATTTTCTAAGTTTAAGAAAGTTAAATTTTTAGCGTTTTCCCAAGATTTATCCAAAATTTAAGCTGTGGATTCCTACATCAAAAAACTGGTGTTTTCTATGGTTATTATTATGTAGGGTGAAATTTCAAAGGGATAAACACCTGTAGGGTTAAAAAAGTAAAATTTAAAATTCAGAATTATGTTTATTCATTATAATTTGATTAACGTAACTATATATGATTTATATTGTTTTGTAATTTTATATAACATTCGGAAGATAACTTAAAAACTTAATTTTCATAACGGGGAGATTCGTGCTAATTTTTTTTTCTAAACCATTAATTTGTTTTTCTAAAAAAGCACACAGAAATAACACTGTTATTTTGAAAAAAATTTTCAATGGTAAACAATTTACGTACTTTTTCCTTCTTCATCTTGAAGTTGCATAGCTAAAAACAACCTTAATTAATGCATTTTATGAAAACAGCAAAATTTTTATTAAAAAAATTATTATTTGTAATATTATTTTCTATATTCTAAACTATTAACTAATACACATAGGCATTCAATTTACACACTTTTACATTAAACTGTTTAAATCTTAATGAAAATCATAGTGAAAACTGTGAAAATTCCGCTGAAATTTAATAAAAATCCTAGTTGGGATGAAAAAACTCAATAACCGTCATATGGACTGTTTGCAAAAGCAAAATATTTCATTAAAAGAGAGGTTCTGAGGTTTTCGTTATCGTCTTAGATATATAAGCTAAATACCGTAAATTTTGTATACAAAAAGAGCTTCCTTCGACATAAAGTCTAAGGCTGCCTGCTGCTATGGAAATAAGAAATAACGCTAGGAGAATTTCTAGGAGAGGCTTCACTCTTCCATAGTTCTCGTTCTTCCGCCGCCCCAGTCTAAACTTCTCTTAAATATAGATCTTATCTAATCCTCAAAGATTTCTTGGGAGTTTTTGTATTCCTACCTAGGGGAATTTCCTACCAGTCTTCTTTCTTTGTGGAAAGTTGAAGGGCTTGTTATTAGTCCTTGAATTATCGTCTTGTACGCGTCCTGAGTTCTCTGAGTGTGTACTAGCTATGATTCTTTATCGCCTTCACGGAATCATCGTCAAACAAAACTTTTTTATTTTTTTATTCTCAGTCAAAAACGTTTCAGAAGAGCTGAGTCTTTTTTTCCTTGAAAAAAATGCTTATTCTTTGTATGACGTAAAAAAGAGAATCAATAAATCAGAGCTGAACAACGTTAAGGAATCTTGCACAAAACTCCAAGACAGATACCGATACATATAATAATGCTGAAACTATTTTTTATTTACCCTTCTCGATAGTTTTACATTATTAAATTAAGCAAAAGTGAGCACCATGCGTATGTCTATACAATTAAAATATTGAAGAAAAATCAAAATATTCGGTATTATTTGGCATGATGTTATTGATCTAATCAACTAATATTTAAAATTTACTTTAATCAAGCTACTTTCTTCTGTACTTATATCTTGGAGGAGACGTAAAGTCACATTTCCTGAGCCTCTATTATACAAAAAATACAGTATAGACGCAGCTTTAATAGGCACCGATTTTTTTTCAAAAGGCTTTGAACCAATATAAGAATATATTTGGTACATATTAAAATTGCATCAATCTCCATAATGCCATTAGTGAATTTTACCAAAATCATGCATTATTAGTGTCAATGATAGCATGGCGAACTCTTATGGATCTCCCTAACAAAATAAGTACTTTTATCTCATTAATTTTGAGTTTTAGTACATAGCTTATTTTTTTATTTCAATTAGTAACTATTACCAGAATTAATTAAGCATCATTGATGCGGTTGTTAGTTGATTTAATGAAAAAAACTCTTTTATACATATAAATTAATATTTTCCATAAATATTTGGTGTCCTCAAGTAGTAAAATTGAACATAGATATAGAGTGAAATTATCCATATTTAATGCGGGCGCTATACCTTGTTTTCGTTGTGGGGCAGTACGATACCGATTTATTGTCTTCATATGTTCCTTTTCGATGATACAAATTATCCCTAAAATTATCACATTGCCTCCTTAAGAAGGAATTGTATGCCATTTTCGGACACATTAAAGTGCAAAAACAATATTATATTAATGCAACTAATTTGGAGACAACCACGGTACTAATAAGTAAAATCTTGTAAATCTAAATGTATGTACTGATGTTGTTGTTTCAACGATTGGATCCGATTGTTTTTGTTTTCCATTGGCGCCATCTATATATATTTCATACATATAATTTTATCACTTTTTTACAATTTGTATCTATTTACAATTAATGTTTATATTTTCTAATATAATTTTAAACAGCAAGTTGTTTCAAAAATTAGGACGGGAAATCTGTATTTCTAATATTTTGTCTATAATAAGAAGTCAAAATGCTTAAAAATGTTCAAATTCAGAAAATATTTTTTTAATTTCCTTATCAGAACCATAGTTTTCAACTGAATTAATACCAAAGACATAAATTAGTTTTTTGGGTGGAGAAACATCAAAATTCAATCAGGCATTTTCTTCGGGAATCAATGTTGTAAATTATTAAAAAAATCATTAATAGCTATTTGAAGCAGATTTCATCGTAAAATACAGTTATGAATGCCTATATTATTGAAAAATTTCGACGCTTTCGAGCATCTTTACATTCTAATATGTTTAAATATAAGGATATTAAGGATGATTAAAATGAAATCACCATTTCTTCAAAAATTGCGTTTTAGTCATTTTTTTTTCAACCTTCAGAACTATAAGTTAAGAGATTTAAATTGACTTTCAACATAAGATTATTTAAAAAAAAATTAGCATGGCGCATATACAACTCCGAAAATTCCGTACAATATGTTTAATTCGGTCTAAAAATATTGTACCGTAAAAATACTTTTAATAGTTTGATCAAAAAATTTACAAAAAAAGAACAAGAATAGAAAGATTAAACCTTTCTTATCATATTGACATAGATATATTGAAAATGAATTACATTACTGCTTTAAAATTTTTTTTGAGTCTTATAATTATTAGAATATAACCTTACATATCCTAAAAACCATGTTTACATAAATTTTTCAATAATACGGTTTTTAATTAATTTGTGGAGAAAGAAAGGATGTTGATAATTAATAAAAAATGCTAACATTTACCATATTTTTGGCTCTATGTTAAAGCTCAGAAATTTTTAACGAATCTCTTTATAATGATCTTGATAAAATTAACAATAAATTAACGTTTTATAATTTGTAAAAAAATGTGGTTAAAATTCAGTAATTTTTTGAGAATACTTTGGAATATGGCATTAAACCCATTCATTCAATGAAATTCGTTTTCCGTTTCATAATTTTTACTAAATGTATGGCAATAAGAACTACAATGCATAAAAAAAAACAGAATTTCCGGTGAATTCCATGTGAATAGTCTGAATACGAGATATTTTAGAATTACTGACTAGAATTATTTCTATTTTTCTTCAGAAATGTTATTACATACAATATGGTAAATTTTACCATATTGTATGTAATAACATTTTAACAATTTACAGTTTAACAACATAATCAAATAGCATAATGTGTGGGTTAGAAAAACTACATTAATTTATCAATTAACTGCGAGGAAAAAATTATTAAAAACACCAAGTTGCGTTTTATATTAAAAGTAACACAAATTTAACTTACCTTTAGTGATATTTGCTAGCAATTTTGCTCTTTTTATTTCAAACTTGACTTGAAAAATAGAATATCACATTTATCAAATGGATGGTTTATTTGTAAAATAAATATTATATTTTAATGTTACAAAAATACAAATAAATGACGCAATGATGTAAAGAATCATTGAAACGTAAATAGTATAGAACGGTTTTAAATCTTAAGATCAAATGATAAAATTTACTACTTTATATTATGCTCTATGGGTATCTGGATTTTTTTTTAAAATGATGCAATACTTTTAAAGGATGAAAATAAAATTGAAAGACTTAAGAACAGGAGTAAGCAAATTAAAAAATTAAGGCCTACATTTAAATTATATTCTGTTGTTTTAGTGTTGTACCTCTTCAGAGATATTAAAATATTTAATGCAACATGGAATTATAAAATACTGCAGTAAAAACATAATTGCATGTAAATCGGAGTTCATAATACACAGAATTTTAATTTGTAATTATTGATAAAATGTGCATATCACTCTTGCTTTTATTATATAGTCTTATTCTAAAAAATTTAATTACTGAGAAAAAACTTTATATTAAAAGCTCTCATGCAACAATAGTTATTTTATCACTAAAAATATCACTATCATACAATTAAATGTCAGAGTAAACTTGATGTACAAGTAATTTAAAATATTCTAAAGCTGATAACAATTTGTTTTAAATTCTTACTTTTGTTTTCTGCTTCTTCTTCTTGAAGCTCCATTGCTGAAATAGAAAGTAAAATGTAGCAATAAATTTGGTACTTGTAAAAATTTTTTATTTATTATATGCAATGATTGTACAAAATTTCGTTAATCAACTCTAAATATTTCTGAAAATATGGAAATTTCTATGAAAAACTAATTTTTTTTATCTTAAGTTTTCGCGCTATAACTTTAAAAATATTCATTAAACTTAAACGAAACTTTTGGTGCAATTTTAAAGTAGTAGCAAAATTATTGTTTCAAAATTTAAGAAAAATCTGCTTAAAACTACGAAAGATATGAGTAATTGAGGTAGTTCTTTTATACAGTGCACGATTGGAAAAATTAACTCTGTAATGTATCGTATTTAGCAACTAATAAGAAAAGATCTAGTTTAAATTTCCTAAAAATTTGAAAAGTTTCAAACAATTTTCTTTGTAATTTTTGCATTGTTTGAAAGAAAGCTTAAAATAATAAGGAGTTTTCCACAAATTTAAATTTGCTTTATTAAACAAGTTTAATAAAACATGAAATATGGAGGAACCTGTTAGGATCATCCTCCATAAAAGTGTCATTTTCACATATTTTCTTTCCTTATACAGTGCATGAACGTTTCTTGTAAAGTATTATCATTTGTTATTTAATTCTGTCATATGATACGATATAATATTTGTGGAAAATCCCTTATCAAGTTTAATTCAAAAAGTAATTAAGTTTCATTCAAAAAGTAATTGAAAATTTCTTCAAACTTTTTACATTTCTTAAGATATTCAAGGCGAACTACAAAATATAATGTATAAGGCAAACTACAAAATTATGAAAACACATTTATACATTTTTTCGCGCATGCAAAACTAACTTAATTACTTATATATTGATCAGTTTCATACAATATTTTTTCAAATCTAAAATTAAAATGCATTTAATTTTAATTTGCTCTTAAAAATTTGTTTAGTGTTGTTTAATATTTTTAAAGTTACAGCAAATGAACGCAACACAAAAAAACTAGTTTTATATA